TCTTTCAAGCCCCAGAATGAAAAATGCAGTGTTATATAATGGCATGATCCAATTCAGGGGTTGAAGACTTTCTGATACGAAATATGAAACCTTTTGTGAATTTCAAATCAAAAATTCTGGATTCATTTACTGCTATATTTGCACTGCTGCAAGACATAGGCTAAATTTTTACAGTTTTCTGTTCCTAGAAGTTTTACCTTTCTTGAAGATCAGCTCTCAGGATAATCTAACCTGTAGTTAAGATGTTAATCTTATAATTAGTAAATTATAAAATGAAGAGAGTGAAAATAGCCTTGTAACAAACATATTTCATAGATATTCAGAATACATCAACTGAAATAATGTTGCTTTGTACAGCAATTAAACCAACTGTAGAAGATGTACATAGTGAGAAAAGGTTCACAATTGTGCTAGGAAGATTGTTGGCAACATTTAATCAATCAACCAAATAACAAGATCTGTTTGAGTATGAAATTTTAAACATACAGAATTAACACCTAGAGATTGCTACAGGAATATATAAAACATAGAATTTAAAAATAAATGCTCTCTTGGTCAGTGACGGAAGCCCTCAGTTGTTGAGGGCTGCAAAATGGCATAAGCATTACAGACAAAGCATGATGGGGCAATAGATCACAGTAATAACATTTGCAATAAACAATAACAGAACAAAGCAGACATCTATAAAAATCCCATGAGGAATTTGCCTTATCCATAATTTTCTTTACATTTGAGAAACTGTGTCAGGAAAGGCCATTACAGCCAATGGCACCAATTAATTTCTGCAACTTTTAATGACATCTTTCTGGGTAAAAACCTCAGATAATACTCCAAGCACATGATTGATAGAGGCCTGTGTTTGATTTGTACCAGACTGTTGATTTTTTTAGTATTTTTAAAGAGTCCCAGTGCAGCCAATCAAGCTATCAACATGAAATACTCAGATCTTCTCTTGTAAAGTACAAGAAAACAGAAAGACAATGGGACTTTCTTAGTAGGGTTGACAGACTATTGGTGATTTTATTTCAGTAGTTCTCTGGATGATGGATTACATGAATTTTTATTCCAAAGGAAAATGATAGCTGAAAAGAAATCTTTGATTTCATTCCATTCTGGATGTTATTTTACCCTTAAAAAGACTGTTGAAATGCAGAAGAAATAAAAATAATTGATTCTGAAGGGTGAAACATAACAATATACTGACTTATATTTGATTTTCTGGTCTTCAGCTAACCAACAGGTTTCAAGGATATTATAAAATTCTGTCTGGGATTTCCTCATACATAAGCCTTTGGAGGATACAGAAGATAGAAGCGTGATTTTTTGTTTGTTTTGTTTTTGTTTTTGTTTTGTTTTGTTTTGTTTTCCAAAATACTTTAGTAACATCATTCTCTCATACTTTGAGATAATTGGTAAAATTAAACAGAGCCTGAAAATAGATGTAGGTAGCTCTTCTTTGCTGATCTAGTGAGCCTAGGAGAACACATTCTGTAATCCCTACCTCTGTAGCAGTAAAATAAATAAATAGATAAATAAATAAATATATGTATATCCCTTAGTGAAACCAGGCAAAATCTTGTATTTGTGGATGCATCCCACAGTGCAGCTGACCACATGGGCATGCAAGTTTCTGCTTCTGTGTTTGTGGGGCTTTAGGGGGGATGCCTGTATGTCACAGCTTCTGGTACAACCAGTACTACATTGGGGTCTGCTTTCTGTAGCTACCTGCTTAGCATGGCACCACTGCAATTGCCTCGCACCCTTTTCAGGCATATTTGGCCAGGCCTACAGGCAGACAAAAGAAATGAGAAACAGTCCTGTAACCTCTGTGTGCACTGGCATGGCCATATGAGGGTGGGGAAAGGGTGGGGGGAAACAGCCATGCAGCTAAAAATCATATGAACATATGAAATTGCCCCTAGAAATTAGAGTCCCAGCTTACGAGCCTTTGGTGGGAGCTTGGGTACATGAACTGCACAAATGCCCAGGCAGTTCCTAAGTTTATGCAGCAACCTAATTCTATAATCATGAAATCAAATTTAATTCTGAGATCCGTGGCCTTATCATTTGATGATTGCTAACTGTAAACATATAAGCAATGGAGAATATATCTTACATATGCACTGCTTTGAAGGTCTCCAACATTCTATAGACTTGATTTATTTGGAGTGTTTTCTGAATGCTAAAAAGCTTTGTAGTACTTACTTTAAATAAGAAGAAATGTGCCATCTAAATTTGATCTTCTAATGAGCAGCAAATAACAGATCACAGTAATGATCCTCGGTGCATTGCATTTCTCAAAATTAGTACTGCTGCCCTGTGAAGAATTATTTTATTCACCTCTCACTGCTGATGAAGAACCCGATCTGCAGGTACAAATAAGCTGTTTAGCTAAATGCTCTCAGTTGGAGTGCCAGCATGGCCTATATAAGCACATGGAAATGGGCTAATCCCAGCCAATTTAATAGGTTAGTGGGGACTAGAACTGTGAATCCTATGAAACCAATGTATTTAATTCCCTCCAAGTTTTGATTACATGGTATTAGAATTACTTCTTTTTAGAAGACATCTTTTACATGATACTCATTTTAGTCAGTATTCCAAAGTTCTTACAAATGAAAGTACCTTTCCCCAAAAACTAATCCTCTTTTCATGTGCTAGTTCATTAAAGAAACAAACACCCCACAACAAAACTTGTCCATCCCTGCTTCCCTGCCTTAAAAAAAAACTTAAGTCATCCATCCACAAACAAGTAAATATTTCCATATTTGCCCTGTACAACAGATTTTTCTATGACATTGTTGTGGTTAATTCTTTGTTCATTAAAGGAAATCCTTATTATAAGTAAGTTATCTCTACAGGGGTCACATCTACTATCACTGCCTACCACATAACTATGGTAGGTATACACAGTAAGTGTAAATAGCTATAGCTATCATATAACTATGATTACAATAAAGGTTAAATTTTTTTTCTCACAATATGTATTCTTCAAGAATATTCAAGTTCTCGTCTCAGGCATGGCTCCTCCTAATTCCCTATTGCTGTCTTTTTGAAGAATAATTATCAAAGTAAAATGCTATCTGTTGTTCTATATGTCAGATATGACAAAATTTAAAGACTAGGAGTATTTAAAAATGAAATGTTTACTTTTATTGGCAGAGCTACACAAAAGAACAACTCAGTAGCTGCAGTGCAGATATTAATTATTGTGTAATGATCAGGAAAGAGACTCTGGAAAAATGCTGCCAGATTTTGGATACAAGCATCCTATTTTTCTCTGCCACTGCTTTTGCGAGCTACTGGAAATACTCAAACTAAAAAGTGAATTGTGTCATGGATGACCCAAGAAAGCACGCGTTTGTTTTGTGAAAAGACGGGTGTTTTATCCCAGAGCCTAATTCAGTAGATTTATCTGCTACAATTACAGCGCTTTGATCACTCCAGAATAGGTGGTGTAGTGCGGGGTGTAGCTGTCCTTTTCCAATTCACTCTCCTTATCAGGATACATGTCTGTTGATTTGTGGGAAGCTGGCTGTTTTTCGTTCCTGACAAACTCCAGTGATTAAAATGTAGTGGCTTGCTCTTGTTCCCCTGATAAAGGTGACAGCTGCAGAGTTTCCAGTGTTAGTGGATATGGTCCATGCAGATTGCTTTTTAATGAAAGCAATATATTATCTTACCTAGAGACCCTGCAGCCTTACCTTGTTAATGTATTCTGGCTTGGCACCACATTCATCTATAAATTAGTTGTATTAAACATGCTTCTTACTATTTATCCAGTCTCTAAAGAGTTTTTTCTTTTTTTTTTTCTTCTTTTTTTTTCTTTTTTTTTCCCAGTTTGTAACTTTGCTTCACACCTCCACCAACAACATCATGTGTGAAATGAACAATGGTGTAGATTTCTCATAAAGTATCTAGTATTAAATAATATAGTCACAGACACCTCCACACTCGATGACTTGATAATCCTTCACATTTCGCCATTAAAATACACACTGAGGGATGTGGAATTAACAACACTTGATTATACAAGTCATATCTGCAAAGGTTTTCCCCTTCACTGTAACTTTACAATCAAAATGATATATGTAACAGAATCAAACAAAACAAAGATTAACCTAAACAGTCAAAGTTGCGTTTCATTTTTGTAGCCATGTCTCTTTTAAATTGTCTGAAATAAAGCAGATTGAAAATTCCTGTTGCATGGTATCCTTTAACAAAAGCGTGCAGGTCTCTGGAACACTCAAATGCCAAATTCATTATCACTATGAATGGTCTGTTCTTCAGATACAAGCAGTGCATTCCCTGTCAATAATTTACACTATTTCCACCAACCTTCATTTTGGACTAACTTTCAGAAAAGGACTGAAATATCATTTAGGGACCAACTTCTGTTTTTCTTTCACAAGAAGTATTTTTCTAGCAAAAGGAAAATATTTTAACTCAATAGATCTCATAAAAGATACATGAAAAAATGGAGGTTTAATTACTTTCCCATATTTTATTCCTAAACAATAATGAGAATTTAGTACTTTGGTATAGTTCAAAGGTGATTATTACATTATCTTTAAAAATCTCCCATATATAACAGAGTCAAAAAAAAAAAAGAAAAAAAAAAAAAGTAAGAAGGAAAGAAAAAAAATAAACATTTCAATAATCTACAAATGTACATATGGGAGCTACTAACTACTGTGAAAATGTTTTATAGATCTTAATAATTAAATGTGATGTGTATTAATAATTAAATAATGTTATTTTCAGTGAAAGGTGTTCTGCATTTTGGACTTGAAATATTGGAATTTAACTCCCTTAGAGTGCCTGCGTGTCTCTGCTCCATTTGTATCTTTGTTAACAATGCCTGTACAGCAGGAGAGATAAATAAGGGATTAGTAATAGATTAAAGGAAAGCCTTTGGTTTATACACACTGTGAACGCTGCCTCTGTAGTTAATTTTTTGAATTTTTACATTTTGGCAGAAAGATAACAAAATACCATACATGTTTCTTATTTCCTCCATCTAAATTAGAATCCTGCTTGTCTTATATCTTCCTTGGAAATGCTCTTTGGGTGCCTAGAAATAATAATAACAATAATAACAATAATAATAATAATAACAACAACAATAACAATAACAGTAACAATAACAGTAACAATAACAGTAACAATAAAGTAAGAATACTCCTGGATTTTTCTGAGCAGCCTCTCTGATGTTAAAGAATTATGTTATTTCATTTTCCATCTTTCCATCTTTGCTTTGAAAATTTTGAAGTCACCCAGACCTATGAGGTTTTCTTGTTCTGAGGAAATAGCTCATCTTCTGGCCAAATACCTTACACCCAGTGAGTGTGTAAAAGCAGAGATAAAGGCAGGGAAAAAAAAAATAATGTAAAACTATAGTTGTGAGTAGGGACTGCACATGGGACATGCGGGCTGCTGGTCTCTTAACCCGGAAATACCAGTTCACAGCTAAGGTGGGAGCTGCACTTTCTCATGCTCCCTTTTCTCTGGCAAAGTTTGTCTCTAAAAATAGGTTCACTTTTTCTCCCCAACAAGTATGTGAAGTGCGTTAAAGGTATAAGCATACCTTATACTAACGTTGTACTAAATGATCTGCATGCCCCTCAAAGCTCTTTGAAATCAGCAAACCGGCCCCAGCTTCCCAAGTTATTTCAGACTCATGTACTTGCTCCCTGTCAGGAGAGGTAATTTCATTTTTCCTTTATATTTCTTTTCTTTATATTAATGCAAATTCCCAATTACATCATGCTGACATATCTGTATGTTACACAGATCATATTTATACTAAATGCTTGAGGTCATAATTAGAGACTGAAGGCTTCAGCTCATAAATTAATACAGTGGGTGAATTTTTGTCTTGTAGAGAAGCCAGTTTGATTTTTGCTGTTGCCAGGAACAGAACTGTGAAGTGAGAGGCACAAAACTGAACAGCACCAATTTGGCAGAGTGTTTATGCCTCTGTAAGAACGCAGGAAGGCTGCTTGCATGTACTGCATCCATCATCATACAAAAGCTGGGGACTCAGGATGATTATATGAGTGGCTATCTGTTTCAGCAGAAATAGGGAGAGTTCATAGTAAACCATATATTTCACAGATCTAAAGTATATTTTATTTTATTTTACTTTATTTCAGTAAGTGCTTTCTTTTAGTGTTTTTCCCAGATAAAAACCTAATTTAACAGTCATTAAAGACCTTTTAAAATTATGTATACCATGAAATGCTAAATCTGATAGCAATGTAGAAAGAGATCGATTGGAGTACTGCTCCCTCATCTCACTAGGAGATATTAAGAACCACGATAAAGATATTTTTCTACACTCAGCCTTTGTTATGTATTCACAGTTCCTTGACCACTCAGCATGTGTGCCATCCCCTTTTTCTTGCACCAGCCCAAAGTGTCCAAATCCCACAAAAATTTCCAAGTTCCCCCAGTCTGCATCTGCAGCCTGCTGGCAGGGAAATGTGACAGCCACACTGTCCCTGTGCTCAGTCCCAATACGGCTGGGAAGGTGAGGAGGAAATGTGGTGCACCAAAGACAGAGGATATGACTCCACCATCAGGAGAGAGAAGGGAAAAGTACAAAGGCTCAAAAGGAAAAAAGAAATTTTCATTTTGTGCTCATTAATCATGTAGACAACTGTACAGACCCACAAACATATGCAAGCAAACCCACAGAGTGCTGATTGCAGCATTTGTTCTTTACATATAACCAACCGTTGCTTTCTAAATTGGTTCCTCTGATATGTTTCTCCATAAATAATGCTTAAAACACACATTACATACACTCTATGGGTTGTTCTCCAGTGTCATTTTTTTGGGGGGTACATCACTGTTGCACAAAGATATTGTGATTGACAAAATAACACACTGATTTAAAACAAACAGAAATTCCATCTCATAAATCACGATAGAAAGTAAAAAGAGATTATCAAACAACTAAATAATGCAGCCCACAGAAAAACATGCCAGTAAATCATACAAACCAGGGTAAATTAGATAACACTGTCCATATACAATTACACTGTTTGGCTCCCATGACAGCCTTTAAATGTGACGTGTTATTTGACATGTATGCAATTAGGGCTTAAAATCAATTTTTTTCTATTCCATTTAAAATAAAAAATGTACTGTTTCCAAATCAAATGCTAACTTTTTAGTCAAGATGTACAAGAAGTAGTATCAGGTTAGCAGCACCTCAGCAGTGTAATGCAAGCCAGTAAGGGATGGTTTTCTGGGTTAATGTGGAGGACCAGGTCCCCAGGAATAATTATTACTGCATATTATTTATGCTCAAATATTATTCCTATTATTATTGTCAGAAGACTTCTTGTAAAACCAAGATCCAGCAAGAAGCAGCAGCACTAATGCACAATGATAGAGGTGACACAGTGAACATCAAGGCAGACTTGGATCTCCAGGTAGACGTGCACTATAACAGGGACCTAGCACCTCCAGATCCCATGCAAATGTGGTGGGAGGGACTCCTCAGCACGGCGCTGAGCCATGAACAGGGAGGAGGCACAGTGCTGATGTGATGCTTCGAGGTGGTGAGAGCTGTGTAACTATTCTGCCCCTGCTCAGCCGGAAGCCAGGAGCAGCCGTGCATCCTTGCCCAGCTGATGGAAGCAGTGACTGCTTGTGGTGAAAGCTCACCGAAGGTCCATAGAAATGTGCTCAGTGCTGTAGCATCACTGGATGATAACTGCTAGCCCAAGCACCAGCCTTTTCATGCTTTTGGCTATCCATGTGCAGGCATGGACATCAGACAGCTCCAAGGCTCTCAGCTGGTGTTGGGGTTGCACAAGATCATGGAGGTGTGCAAGTACTGGCCTGATGTTTGGTCCCAGGCAAGCCCAGCTTGGTGTTACCTTGTGATGCCTTCACAGAGCCATATATGCTGCTTAGCTGTAGAAATGATGGACTGCTTTTGTTTCAAATTCTCAAGTTGTTGCCCATTTTCCACACCTTTTATACATGTTTCCTCCTGACTATTTAAAAACAACATGAAGGAAAATTATGTTCTCCTTTATGCATAAAAACTCTAAACCAGTATTAAAATTAGAGTATATAACTTAGTGCTTTTATCTCTTTATTCCCCCTCTCAGGCTGTCTTCCTGTTCAGACACTTAGAAAAAATAATATATATATATATATATATATAAATGGTGATGTAGTTTACAATTTCTACACAAATTCTTTGTCAGATCATCATAAAAAATGCCCATTTGAGGACTCAAACGTTTCATTTTCTTCTTTAAGGTCCTCAGAGACAAGCTCTAGAGCACGAGCTTAACCTGGCTGCTATGGTAGAAGATAACAAAAAATGTTTTTACAAATAACATTTTACAAATACCCTTCTTCTTAACAGTAAGAAGAGGGGCAAGGAGAATCTCCATCCTTTACTGGATGCAGGGGGGAACATGACTACTGAAGATAAGGGAAAGGCTGAGGTTCATAACGTCTTCTTTACATCTGTCTTTACTAACCAGACCACTTAACCTCAGGGTACTCGGCCTCCCAACATGGAAGTCATGGATGGGGAGAAGAAGAAACCCCCCACAGTTCAGGTGGAAACAGAGACCTGCTGCTCCATCTGGACAGTCACAAGTCCATGGTGCCAAATGGGATCCACCAGAAGGTGCTGAAGGAGTTGATGTATGTGATTGCTGGGCTACTCTCCATCATCTGTCAGCAGCCATGGTCATCCAGAGAGATCCCAGATGACTGCAGACTTGCTAATGTGACACCCATCTATAAGAAGGGTTGTAGGGAGGACCTGGGGAACTACAGGCCTGTCAGAAAAGAGCAGTCAGGCACTGGAACAGGTTGCCAAGGAAGTGGTGGAGTCACTGTCCTTGGGAGTGTTCAAGGAAAGGTTGGACGTGGTGCTTAGGGACATGGTTTAGTGGGTGACAGTGGTGGTAGGGTGATGATTGGACCAGTTGATCTTGGAGGTCTTTTCCAACCTTAACGATTCAGTGATTCTGTGTCTCGCTGAGATGGGCTGAGAACTGTCTGAATGGCCCAGAGGGCCAGAGGGTGGCATAAAGTCTAGTTGGAACCAGTAACAGTGTACCCAAGGGGTCCAGTACCGGCTCAAATCCTGTTTAACATCTCCATTAACAACCCGGACAATGAGACAGACTGCACCCTCAGCAACATTGCTGATGACACAAAACTAGGAGGTGTGGCTGATATGCCAGAGAGCTGTGCTGCCATCCAAAGTTACCTCGACGGGCTGGAGAAATGGACTGACAGGAACCTCATGCAGTTCATCAAGGGGACGTGCAGCATCCTGCACTTGGGGAGGAAAAACCAGTACAGGTGGAGGGGGAGCCAGCAGGAAAGCAGCTCTGCAGGAAAGGACCTGGCATCCTGGTGGATGTCAAGGTGAACATGAGACAGCAACACGCCCTTTCCCCAAGAAGGACAATGGTAACCTGGGCTGTATTAGGAGCAGAGTTGCCATCAGGCAGAGAGAAGTGATCCTGCCCCTCTACTCAACCCTGTTGAGGCTACACCAGAAGTGCTGGGTCCAGTTCTCGCCTCCCTAATATGCCAGGAGCATGGACATCCTGGGGAGAGCCCAGGGGAAGGACCATGGATACGATGAAGGGACTGGAGAATCTCTTCTGTGAGGAAAGGCTGAGAGCAGGGGCTGTTCAGCCTGGAGAAGAGAAGGCACAGGGTGGTCTTACCAATGTGTATACATACCTGAAGGGAGGGCAAAGGATGGAGCCAGGCTCTTCTCAGGAGTGCCCAATGCCAGGACAAGAGGCACTGGACACAGGAGGCTCCCTCTGAACACCAGGAGTGCTGCTTTGCTGAGCAGGTGAGGAGCACTGGCACAGGCTGCCCAGAATTGCTTTTGAGCCTCCCTCCCTTGGGGACCTCCAAAATCTGCCTAGACACACCCTGCTCTTGGTGGCCCTGCTGGACCAGGGGCTAGAGCAGGTGCCTCTCAAGGTCCCTGCCAGCCTCAGCCCTTCTGTGATTCTAAAAAAGTGTATTTTTATTGTACTGTTCTTTTTCCTTCTGTTTCTGTCTTCTGCCTAAATTGTAGGCTGGTGCAGCATAGATTGGTTGTCTTTTATGCGGAGGTACATAGTTCTTGCTTAACAAACACTGTTGGAATAAATGTGAATCATAGGTCACAATTCTTCACTCTTACTCCTGTAGAGAACATAAACCCTCAGGAAACAGTATTTACTGAAACAAACCTCTCTGCAGTGATAGCTGCCGACACAGTTGCACTTTTTGAGGACAGGGTCTCACAAGCAGGTTCCATCATGAGCATTTCTGTGCACTACCCCATCACCATCCGTGCTGCGTCGTTGGCTCAGGCCCAGAGATAAGACACAATCTGATGATGGGTGAGTGCTACATCAGTTCTTCACAATCTGTTCTTTAATCCTATATGTGACTCAAAACCGAAGCCTTCTTAGTCAAAACTCATTCCATACTTGTAATGAGTTCCATACAGTGCACTTGATACACTGGGAAAACAAGCTGCAAAATTCTCACTTTGCGGACTGTGGCTGCTGCCTCATGAGAGGTGCAAATGTGTGCTGCTCACAGTTACTTCCACAGAAAGTCAAATAATACTGAGAGCATGCCATGCTTTGTGGCTGATTCTCCTGAAAATGAAGGTAACAATTTGCTCTGACCAGATTTCTCTTTTCTTTAGAAGCCTGCCCATGCCCAAAACACCCATGCCCACGCTGGTGCCTCAGCGAGGGGGGTGCAAACACCCGGACCTGCACTGGGTGGTGAGGGGGAAGAGCGTTTTCTCGTGTTGCCCCTTGCAGGAAAAGGGGTCTGGAGCAGGGAACAGCAAAAGACCGTGCTGCCCACCCTCCCTGGAGCCGCTGCTGGGCATTAATTAAGTTCAGGCTCTCATTCCCCGAGTGGCAGCAGGGTCCTGGTTTCCCCCCTCCCCTCCGGCAGCGCCGGTGCCGCACGGCAGGGCAAGAGCCCCCTCTGCTGCTCTTCTACAGGAAACGAGTTTCCTGAGAAAAACAGGCTTTTTCGGCTGCCGCCGGAGCTCTTGGGCTTAGCTGTTTTTTTTTTTTTTTTTTTTTTTTTTTTTTTTTTTTTTTTGGGTGGGGGAACATTAAAGCCCGGCATCCCTCCTGCAGGAGGGATGCCGAGAAGGTTTGGCCGCCCCTCTCCTCGAGGGGCGATGCGACCACCCTAAAAACACCGTGCCCGCTGCTGCCGGGCCATGCCACAGCTTCGTGTTCCCTCACAGGGGACAAGTGGCGATTTTCTGCCCCCGGCTTGCTGCTGCCAGTGGTGCCAGGACGGGGACAGTGGCAGGGCGCACTGTGTGTGGGCAGCCTCTCGCCCCAGCCTGTGTGGGCAAGCCCTAATTCATGCTGTTAGCGGGAAGCCAAGGTGCCATGCAGTCTGTACGCAATCAATTTTCACGTCTGGAGGCAGACAGAAGGGCAAAACTCAACAGCCATTGTCCCAGCCCTAGGGTGACAAATGACTGCAGCAGTTCTGCTTATGGAGGATCACTTAGAAGACCGGGTCACCTACTTCATGCATGAGCAGGGTCACCCATCTCCACCATCATCACTGTGCTCTTGCCCTTTGCAGGCAGCACAGGGAGAGAAAAGATATTTCATTTTGGCTGAGCTTGGCTCTCGTGTGCTAGTGTACCAAGTCACTCCAAGGTGATTCCTCTGGCGAGTGAAGGTGTGCTGATGAGTCCAGCAAACAGAAAAGGTCAAACCAGGAAACCCACCTTCTCCTCTGCCTCCCTGAACAAGTTTCAGTCCTGTCTCAGAGGGATTTTTTTATTTTATTTTATTTTTTTTTAAGTATTTTCTTTCCCGGTCATGAACAGTAAAAACAATCTGTTCTTACTGAGCTTCTTTGTCATTTTGTAATAGCTTTGGTTCTTTGTCTTGATGCACTTTGGTGCAAGTGACATATTTGGGTGGCACTTGTCCCAGAAATGGACTAAAATCAGACAGGCAAATGTTTCATCTATCTCCAGCAGAGGCCAGTGGATGTTTCAGATTAGGACGACTTCCCAAATCATGTCCCACACGCTGCCTGAAGCCCTGGGGGAGCCTACCCGTGGTGGCACCAGGTTCTCAGCTGGTCCCACCCCATCGCGCTGTGACGGCCTCCACTCTTTCATGGCCCTCTCTGCAGATGTGTTTCTTTTCCTGCAGTTCTGCTTCGCACTTTCCTTTCTGACACCGAGTTTTGTATTTGTCAGTGAATAAATAGACCCGGGATTGTAAAAATATTCTGCTTGGCAGCTGGGCTTGGCAGTTCCGATCAATTAGGACCATTAGTCATGATGGGATGGAGAAAATGTCCCAGGCCCGAGGCGTATAAATGTTCTCAGGGCCCAAAAATTCCCTTGGCAGCCCAAGCTCTGAGCAATTCAGTCTGCTTAAATTACTGTTTTTCAGTGTGCCTGCACTGGTCTGGTGTGGTTTGCCTCATACTTCTAGGGCGAGTGGGACCTCAGGAGAGGTTTCTGTGGTGCTGAGAAGGTGTTTATACACCTTGGGACCTGAGGATCAAAAAGGTGATCAGCAGGGACAGGAGAGAGGAGGGTCAGCTCTGCTGTGGGCAGCCTGATGTGTGATGGAGAGGCACCCTGACTGTGGTCATGGGCAGTCTTCATGACTGGAATGAAAGTGGCACTTTTAGCTCAACGTCACCTGCTCAGCTTCTGCAGTGATGTATGGCCCAGCTCAGTCAGGCCATGGACTGAAAACCCCATAGGAAACATGGCAACATGAAGAAATGTGGGTGGCAATCCATGAGAGCTCACCCATTCCCTCTGGCTAGTCACTGATCCCTAGCACTGGTTTGAGAGGCACTTGGTGTGCCGGTGCAACACACGGCAAATAAATATGAGCTGTTTTTCAAGACTCTGCTCACATCAACCTCACAAGTACATCACAACCAAGATGACCCATTGTTTACTCGCTTGCCTTTCACAGTCTTGGGCACAAGAAGAGGTGGTACCCTCAGCTATCTGCCCACCTGCAGCTGGGCAGCACAAACCTGGCACCACCACCTCCTCTTAGTCCATCTCAGCTGCTGCGTGGTGTGCAGGGAGAGACCAGCACAGAAATAAATGCTTCACCCAGCAGCCATGGGTGCCTCAGTTTCACTTGGCAGCAGAGGCAGCCTGTGAAGCCCCGGCTTGGTTTCCCCCAGCTGGGCTGCCTGACCTGGCACCAGCTCTGGCACCAGCCTTCAGAAACAGCCCTGAGTGCAGCAGGCTGCGGCGGTGATTAAGGCAAGGACTGAACAGCTCAAAGTTGTCAGCTGGCTCCACGCAGGGTGTAGCTTTGAATTTAACACCTATAAGGGTCAACGAGAAAAAATAAGGCTTTCTTTGTCCCAGCTCTGCCTGCACCACTTGTGTGGGTGCCTGACCAGCACAGACTGTGCACTGTGCACGCAGGTCTGTCTGTGTTACAGACGGGTACTGAGATCAGATCTTTGCTAACAGACCTTAAAACACTCATTTGAGAAGACCACTCTGCTGGGGATGGTGCTCTGGACCGGCAGCTGCCTTACTGCTTTGCTGAATAAGTGGTTCAATGACATCTTGAAGCCAGGTTAGTGTCCAGCTAGGAGGACTGGCAGGCATGCCTGCATCCTGCTCTCTGCTCCATTTCTCCGTCTGGTCACTGCACAAAGCCCTTCTCCCCTTCCCAAGACAGATCCTAGAGTTCCCATGTCTTAGCAAGCCCAGGACCAAAATTTTATTCATGGGTCCAGGCAACTGTTTCTGATCACCTACCAGATTAATCTGAACGGGGTCCACCCTCCTGGTTGCTAACAGCAGGCTACCGAATAAGCATCTTCTGCTAAAATTCATAACAGATTTATTCACTGGAGTTAGGTGCTTTCCCAGCTCTGCTTCTTGCCCAAAAAGCATGCTTAAAATAAACATTTTTCCCTTTGTCATTGCGAGATATATTTGACCTACTCGTACTTCTTTCCCCCAACAAGGAATTCTACTTTGTGTTCCTGTACTGTGAGCATTTGTGTTCTTTGTTAGCTCCTGCTTCAGCTTCACTAACCCCTAGATTGCTTACTTGCCCAACAAATATATGGGTCTCATTTACCTTTTACGGTAACCAAAAATGAAATTATTGATTACCTGTTTCCTTCAGGACACATTGTTAAACTGCTTCACTTCCAAACCAGAGAAACTGCGCAGAGCAGAAAATCCCCCTGAAAATGTAAAAAGGTCAATGGTGCATTTGATGACATGAGCGCTTATGAAGCCACATAATTCATCATTTGTTACTACAGAACTCGTTCCTAGGGGGATTAGCATTTGCCAATAAATATACCATATGCTGGATTCTGTATGGAGATTTTTTAAGCTACCTTACTAAGTCATTAAGGATCTCCCATGACAACTATGACTAAAATGGGCCAAGCCCACCAGGGTTCCCTAGACCAGTGAAGCATGTGGGTTAAAGGATGAAGTCATGTCTCACTCGTGTACCAATCCTTCAGCGAGACATTTACAATTAAATAGTTTGCTTGTGACTTGTCTGTTGGGAAGAACTATTACTCCTCTGTGAGGACATGGATTTAACCCTTCCTCCCCTCCAGAATTTGGGGAAAGGAGAAAGAGCACAGAGGAAGGTACAGAGGAGTTTGAGCAGCAACCAGTGGCTGTGGCGGCACAGGCTCCAACACGATCCATGCAGACCTAAGAGGGGTTATTAGCAGTTTGTATCAGAATGTATATTAGCTTTCAAATCAAAAGGCTAAATAAGGAAAGAAAGAAAGAAAAATAATTCTCTGAAGTTGGCCTCTCGTAGGAAGGGCTCGCGTGTTCCACCTTCACGCTGCCAGAGGTCTTTCCTCACTGAAGTTGCCTGAAAGTCTGGAGAAGAAACAGCCTCTCCAGCAGCAGGGAGCTGTGAGGCAGACACACGCACAGCCCCAGCAGGCTACGCCAACCTGCCGAGAAAATGTTTTTGCAGATGATGAAAAATCATTGAACTGCTTCTTCGGATCTCAGCTGTCTCCCTGACTCCCAAAGATCTCAGTGCCTCCGTCACTGCCGGCCAGCCTCTGCTGGTCAAAGCTCACAGCCTGCCCGAGCATATGCAGACACAAGCACCCTTGCAAAACTGCTTTTGATATAAAAACATTAAACATATGCACACTCAACACCCTGGGAGCTGAATGACAGCCTGAAGCCCATAGTTGGAAATGAGTTCCCTGAAGGAGTGGGGACCCTGGGGGCAGGTCTGCAGCAAGTGGGAAGTGCTGAGGGTCTCTGGAAATGAAAGACATTACTTAATTGCAGAACACTGGGAAAAAATCCCAGTGTTGCTGAAAATTAATGACAAAATTCCCATGGACTTCATTTGAAGGAGTATTTGGCTCACATGACATAGTACAGATGGCTAAATTTCTTCAGGATGGATACAGTGTAAATGACTAAATAAGAGAGCAAAATAACAACAAAAAAAAAAAGTAAAAGCAAGAGTAATGTATATTTTCTAAAGAAATCTTGGAATGGATGTTCAAAAGAGGTATAACATTAAGCTTTTGCCTTCTTCAGAAACTTTTTGTCCTCAGTTTAACTTCCTGTTTGCTCTAACGCAGAGATTTCCTAAAGTACATTAAGCTAACGTTGACACACAAACATCCAGCTCACATCATATTGAGATGAATACGTGAACTTCCTGCAAAAACACATACAGCTGCTTCTCCTTACCTGCTAAGTAGAATCCATGTAAAAAATAGCAGAAGCTTAGCTACATAAGAAATAATATTAGAAATAATTTTATTTCTTTTATTTTTATTAGAATCAGAAACAGAAAATTTATTAGAAATAATCTTAGAAAGTTGGAATCTGAGAGGAAATAAAGTAACAAAAGAATAGTATGTGCCTGCTGTGTAGGCTTATTCTTAAACATGAAAAACTTCCATGAAAGCCAAACCCAACCAATTAATAACCAGGTAATCCCGTTGGCTTGAACGATCCAGAAATGGCATTCACTTCAATGCTGCAAAATAAATGGTTCATAAAACCAGCATATGGAACACTTTTTCCAAGCTCAAACTAAAGGAGCTGCAATAGCCAAAATGAGTCAAAGCCAGAGCCATACACAAAGACACTTTTCTGAACAGAACAAAATTCCTGACTGAATGATTTTTGTTACCTTGGAGAACATCTGAGTGCCGTGAGAGCTGTCCTTCTCCCCTGTATTTTGAAGAACTCTTCATATCTCTGTGTTTGAATAGCTGAAAACTGTACTGCACCTGCTAATTTAAAGTGAGCGCAAAGCAGCCTTTTCCTCCCACAATCATGGGCAGGCACACGCGAGAAATGACAGACTTTCTGCATGTGTGTTGTAGCACAGAGCACTTGAGCCTCCACGTTATCTTGGCCATTAAGGGATGGTTCTGCTCTGAGAGATGTCAGAGTGGACTTGCAGTGAAAAACAGGGTCTGACAGCCCAGCTACTCGCAAATCAATAAGTTGCCAATTTTTCCTTTCCTATCAATAAGGTGTGATAGAAACCAGAGCAGAGACATTCAGCCAGCTAGGCAGTTAGCAAATCTCGCTTCCTGAGAGCAGAGGATGCTGATTAGCTTTGGTAGCTGTGAGAACCCATCTCGTCCAGGTAATTACGACACCTCTGAGATCTGCAGGTCTATTGCCTAGAGCAACACCATGATTTCTAGATTAATAATGCCAGATTATTATTATTATTTTTTTTCCTCCAGCAGTCATTGCCACTGTGGACCACTAAATCGTTATTTTGGCTGGTTATTTTGGCAGGGAAGGTTTGAGTTCATCATTCACAGGCAAGTCTCACAGCTGGGGAGGCGTCAGGCCCTGGAGGTGATCCCTGCTGTCTCCCCAGCTGCGCTGTAGCGCACACTAATTGCGAGAATCACGGTTATAAAGGGGAACATGCAGTCCTCTGTCCCCCAGAATTTATGTTATTATTAGATAAAAAGGTGTCGGGGCAACTACATATTAATGCAGACGTGCCTGTTTTAGTAGCAACAGTTTCCCCCTGCCTTGAGGCAAGGTCCCCAGCATCGTGCCGTGCCCTGCTCGATCTCCGCCTGGCGGCTGCACGGCCCGGAGCATCCCCGGCCGCCGCCTGCAGCTGCAGTTTCGCTGCCACCTGCGCTCCACACGCGGGACACAGCTCGTTTGCAGCTTAAAAAACGCGTGGCCGAATGCAAACGGTGCCTGCCTTCTCGCCTGCAAGCATGACGTGCTGACAGCTCAGCCCCTGCAGTAACCATTTTGTCAGCAGGTTGCTGAGAGATGCTCCCGTAACACCACAGTGACAGGAGCTGGAGACCATGTGAGAGCTATGCTCTGAATCCTGGACTTGGCTGCCCTGGAAGAGGCACGCAAAAAGTGCCTGGAAAGAGAAATGAATGCACTAAGGATAAGTGATAATTGGGTGCTCATACCACTGACATAATTTTGTGACTTCTGAGTTTTAAACGTAGTTTGAACTTAACTTTTAAAAAGCTTGTAAGTAAATTCTTTCAAAACTGATATTGAATCAAGACCTAAATATACCATCAGTAAAATTCTGGCTCCTAGGAAGGCTTTTATTTGAAATATTTCCTGTACAGCTCACCGGTGTCTTGCACAGCACACCTTCACAGCTTTGAAGGTGCCATCACTCTGAATGCGCAGCAGCTGACTGACACAAGCTTTGCTACACAATATATATAAAGAGCACAAAATGCCAGAGAACACCCATTAGTTTAAAGGGTAACTGCCAAGTTGTGTCTTAGACCTATGCAACATGTTAAATTCTTTTGGTGTATACACATTTGTATATACATATGAAAGAATGCCCACCTTCCTACCAACCTATCCATCTGTGGGACAAGGATGGAGGAGCAAAAATCTCTCCCTGTCGGAAGTAGAGTTCCCCTGTTCCTGGATGCTTGTGCTCTCTCTGCTCCCAGAATAAATTTGTTCTGTTCCCGTGTCTGACTTACCTGCCCAAGAGATGGTGACTTCCAGCAGCTGCAAAAGGTGCTGTTACAGGAGAAGCATGAAGTGGTCTCCTGACAGCCCAGCACTTCTCTAAGAGAGAGCAACAGAGATCTCCAAGTACCACAGCTTCTTTGGTTTCAATCAACACCAAGCTCTCTCATCCTCAGTCTCTGCTGGATGTGGTCGGTCCGTATTTTAAAGCCTTTTCAAAGGAGATAACACATCTGTTGAGCACACACAACCACACAACTTCTCCCCTGAAAATCCTATGTTGAGGCAGAAATCTTTCCTTTCTTTCTATTGAAAAGGACTGGAAAGTGATGAATAACATCTCATTATAGAGGATTTTTTTTTTCTCTCCCAAATTGTGGCAAATTTTTGCACCAGAAGAAATCAAATTCAAAGAAAGAGAATTACTTGTTTTCTAGTAGCAGACTTTTATAAATAAAACTCCAAAACAAATTGGAGCACACATAAACATTTGATCTCCATATGGATGTTCTGCCCATTTAACGTTGCCTGAAATATGTGCATCTTTGATATTTGTTGTAAAAGTGTAATAAAATGAAAAGAAGGAGAGTGCTTTTTCCTTTTCTTTTTTTCTTTTTCTTTTTCTTTTTCTTTTTTTTTCTTTTTCTTTTTCTTTCCCCCTACAGAATGAAAATGATTTGCTCCTTGTTTCTTCTACTGTGATGTCTGTTGCTGCATTTGCTCAGCTTTATGAGTTTTCTTTGTACATGTTGTCTTTTAAAGCTTTGACGTATACTTTATAGTATCTATCTTCACCACCATTACATTTATAAAGAAAGCACAGTTCTACTGAAAATGGTGAATTTTTCATCAGATAATTAGTGTTGCCCATAAATATGTTTGTCCGTCTCCTAACTACTTCAGAGTACGGTGGGAAAATAGCTTCTGAGATGAAGCTTAGGAGGGGATGCCTGGGAAAATGCTAGACAAACACTTTCAAGAGATTGAGACTTCCGAGTGCCCTTTAGTTGGGAACAGTCAGAACATTGCACCCAGAAGCACTTGCACTTTATTTAAAAGCCACGCATTGAAAAACGCTTTCTTATGAAACCATTGACATGGAAAATGTTAGGCTAAGTACTTTGAGGATACTTCTTACTACTGGTAAGATTTAATAAAGTTCAAGTACAATTGTGAACTGAAACATCATCTGAAAAGAGTGGCCTGAAGCATATTCTCATTATTAAGCACTTGAGAAAGTATTTTGTACAAATGCAGATGCCCCAGGTGCTGTCCTGGGGAACAGATCTTCATCCCAACGTGAAGCTTATTGTCTCTCCTAGGGGAACAGCCAGGCATCCTGCGTCAGAAAACAAAAGAACTTGGCTGGTTTGTCCAGGTACATAAAGGGCCTGGAGTGATAGAGGTGCAGCCAGCAATCTTGTGTGTAATGCCAAGTGGGTCCTTGAGCAATGCCAGCGAGTCAGCCCCAACTCCAGCAGCAGGCAGTGAGAGGTGCAGCATGTACCATGAAACAAGGTCCCAAGGGAGCTGGCAGTACCTGTAACAGACTTACCCAACAGCATCCCACAGGCATTTTCCTCTGAAGCAGAGGGAGAGGCTCACCACCAGCCTGTTTTGCACACACTTTCTCTGTCAGTGCAGCTCTCACCCTCTACACAGGCCTCGCTCCCATTGCAGGTGTCTGGGCAGCAGAAGTGATAGTGGCTATTGCTAGGGGTGAGGCAGGAGTGCTCAGGGCAGCAGCTGTGGCTGAGGAAGCAGCTCACCTCTCCTCTTTTCCACCCAGAACCTGGCAGCAGCAGCAGCAAGTCTGCCTTTCAAGAGCCCTTTGCCACTGCGGCCTTTCCATGCCAAGAGCCCAACCCTTTCTCACCGGAATGGCAAAAGCAACCTTTTCCCTTGCTGCTGGTAGAAGCCACATTTATCTTTTTGATATCTCTGGCTTGGTTTTTGATGGGTATCTCTAGCAAGGGAGAGACAGCATACACATTTCAGCAACAGGGACGGGAGCTGAAGGAAATGGGCACCATACAGGGCCAGGATCACTCTCAGCTCTGCCACTTTGCCATCCCACACTTGCTTTTATGGCAATGGCAACTTCTCTTCACCAAACTGGGCAACTTTAGTTGCTGCTGGAGGCTCTTTCACTAAGCATGAACCACTCTCAGTGAGAGATCTCTCTCCTCTTTTCTTCTGCACCACTACTGTTTGTACAGCAAAACCTGAGGATGCTGGAAAACAACCTTTTCTTATGGCTCAGAAACCTGGTACCCAGTGAATGTTCAACCTTGCACTGAAGAGATGGAATTTATCCGATCTGTTAATGGACCAGAAACACATTTTAGAAGCTGCCAGAATTCAGACAGACATTTTCAAGGAAGTCTAAATGCATGCCACCTATTAGATTCTTTAGCAAACCCATATGTGGATATTATTTGATCAATGCTCTCAGATAATAAATGCCATATCACAGACCTCTGGCAGAGTTGCTGGTTGTCTTGACAGTGCTATAAAAGACACGAGTTGTAACGACCACAACAGTTTTCTCCTCTCTTAGGCTGATTCTGCCACAGCTGAATCACAGACCCATTAAAAGAGAGCAGCTTGAAAGGCATCTCAGGAGGTCATTGAAGTTCAGCTGCCTGCCCCATCACATTTCTGACAGTTTTTTCTCCCACCTGTTCTTAAAATCCTCCAATTATGACTCTCCCGCATCTTCCCCCAGACTATTGATTATGGTGCTATTATTACTTGTGGAAAGTTTTACTAACACATGACCTCTCTCCCCTTTATTACAGTTCTATATTCACTGCTGCTTGGTCTACACATATCAGACAATGTGTAGGGCAACGAAGAGGGGCAATATATTCCCAACCTCTTTTTTACTTATGTCCTGGAAGACAGTTGTTTTGCCTTTGTCACTCTTTTTATTATTAATTTATTTATGTATTTATTTTCTCCAGTAAATTACTTGTTTTCATTGGTTCCTTAGGGCTTTACATGTGCTTCTTTATTAAATATATTCCTTAAAGATTGCTGTCCATATCCACAGCTGTGACAAAAAGTGCAAAGATTGTCTTATTCTACTAACAGCACTTCCATATAGATATCTAATCTATCTGCATGCATGCGCAGACACACATAAGCACAGCAGAGCCATAGTCACTGCCAAACCTGTGACTTGATCTCCATACTGCAGTGTTTTGAGATACAACAGAAATCTCTACACCATCAACATTTATGTTCACATCTATACTTGAAGCAGGTTAAATTCATTCCAGGCCTCTTTGCTTCCCTTGCAGACCCACATGATTTTATTTCATCTTTTCTTGGAGCAGTACTACTGACTCTGACAAAAGAGATACATAAAAGCCAGCTCTGTGTTCTAACAGCCTCTGGATTTCTTATCAGTTTCCCAAATATACCCAGAATAAATCCTTTCCTTCCTGCTTACACTGCTTGCTGGTAAGCACAATACCAAAACACCTAGCAGTTAGAGTGGGAAAGGAAGTGGCTGTGCAGATGTCAAAGACAAAGAGTAATGTTCTCTTCAGGAAACAGATGGCTTGAGCTGGTATTTATAGCAGTCCATATATGTTAGACAAAAACAGACCATGGTACAAAAGCTGAAGTATCTGGAAAGCTGGCAAGGCATTTATAAATGTGTGCTAGGGGGATGGATGGTGGATGCTGTTTATGTACTACCTCTTCTTTATTTTGAAGAGGTTATGTGGCATATTAAGGATCTACCTTGTTTCTCCTGGCTTCAGTCTCTGATACTTGTGTCAAAGTTATGCATTCACTGGTCAATATAATGAAGAAAAGATGGGTAAAGACAGTGGTAATGTCTGGTGCATGCAAGGAGGTGATTTAACTGTGATACTGTGCAGAAGCAGGGGATGACAACTGCAGGTTAGCCAGTGCTCACCTACCTTACTTGGTCCTCATGCGCAATTACCTACTTACTTGCAACTTAGTATTTGTACCTCAAAATGTTTTTATAAACAATGAAACAAGATTGCACAAAATCCAGCTAGGTAACAAGCTGCACCTGGTCACAGCTGATGTACAGTCAGACATTTTTGATGTTACAATAGGAAATGCACAATAATTTGAGAGATTATTCCCACTATGTCATTAAGAAACTACTTCATGCCACAAAATTAAGCCTAGTAGTTTGATACTATGAATGCAGAGACCATATTTTTTCACAGTCTGTTCTGTCAGATTTTCATCAAGTAGGTTTTTAAAAGGCAAAAGAATATTTCCGTGGTACAAGGGAGCTGAATCTCATTCCACAAGCAGACAAAAGTTAGTGCGCCATGAGATCCATTCACTAATACATTAATTCATACCGAGCAGATGACGTGCTGACACTTTTACTTTCAACTGTGTTGCACGGCCGTATTCTGACATTGTTGTAATGGTAGGTGATAAAAACATGCAATGGATTGCCTCTCAGACAACACATTTTGAGACAGTTGCCATTTTATTATAAATAAGTGGACTTTTTTTTTTTTTTATGGCTATGCTGTCAATCATATTTTGTCATGTTATTGATCTTATGCCAGCTTGATGCTACAAGAAGGTTTCTGAATGACAGTCACAGTGAAGTGAATATTAGATCTAAACTGTTTCCTTAACTTGTCTCCATCTCCTTCATACACCAACTTTACCAAATATAGTTATTTTCCTCACTTGTAACCCAGTACACCAATGTATGTGCCACCTAGCCTGGAGACTGAAAGGGAAATAAATAAAATATTACTAAAATGCTTCTTTATTAATACAGGACAAAGCATAGCCCACCATCCTACTGATGACAGAAAGAGTCATATCCTAACACTGCACATATCTGGGTGTTGTCCATCCCAAATACCCACAACAAACAAAACAATTAGACAAGCACAAAAAACAAAGCTCCCAGCAAATCTCTTTCGCTCATTTTGAAGAATGGTATCATTCTTCAAAAATTAGGAGAGCCATGTAATATGAAACTGTGAATTCAGGGCTCTCAAATGCCCTATCAACTGGCTTTGATACAGATCTGCAGGACATACAGAGAGAGGTCTTCTTCTGCAGTTTCTGGGAGACAGTGAACATGAAAAGCCGTTCTTTATATCCACGGTGCTCACAGATA